CAAAATTACCTAAGTATTCGGTCTTGTTTTCTGAAAAAATTATCAAGATGTATCAAGAAAAGTATCTACCAGTGGAGAAAGAAAAAAAATCTTTTTTTTCCCTTTGAATTAAGTTTATTTGTTGTTATCCCATTAGCAGATATTTGGTCTTAATTTTTTTTTTTTTTTTTGAAAAACAAGACTAGTCAGGGATAGTATACCAAAAATGAAAATCCATTTACTCACCCTGAAGTTGTTCAAACCTCGAATGAATTTCTTTCTTCTGCTGAAAACAAAAGATATTTTGAAAAAAGTCGGTAACCAAAAAGTTGATGGACCCCATTGACTTCCACACTATTTTTCCCGTATGTCGATGGGGTCCAACAATTGTTTGGTTACCCACATTCTTCAAAATATCATCTTTTGTGTTCAGAAGAAAGAAACTCATACAGATTTTGAAAAACTTGAGGGTGAGTAGGCTAAATGATAACAGAATTGTCATTTTTGGGCGAACTATCCCTTGACTGTATTATATTTTTGTAATGCGTCACCTTGTTACAATGTGGTTTGACTATATGCCATTTTTGTAATGTGTCACTCACCTTGTTACAATGTGGTTCTCTGTGTCTGTCAGCACGGGGAGCAATACAGGATAGAGCTTTTCGAGGGCCAGAACTTCACTGGTCAGTGTGTTGAACTGTGTGACGACTGTCCCTTCCTCCAGAGCACTGGGATCAGCCAGAACTGCCTCAACTCCGTTAAAGTCTACGGAGACGGCGCGTAAGTTCTTCAGGGCCAAGCAATGCTTTATTAATGAATCAATGAGTGAAAGTGTACAATATTCCAATGTCCCCCTAACGCTTTAATAGTTAACTCTTTCCCCGCCATCGACGGAATTTTCCATGTATCCATGTTTTCACTGTTATACAGTAGAGGGGCGCTATCAGCTAGAATGTCTTACGGCGGAGTCTCTATCGTCATCACCGGCGGCCATCTTGTCACAGGCTAGCTTTATGTATGGTGAGAACACAAATACTCTTATCTTGCTGAAATCTTGACGGATTTTCAAACGGTTTGGTTTCACTGGAAAAAAGGCCCCTCCAAAAATAAGCAAAAAAAAAATGAATACAAGATATTTTTGCTTGTAATAAGCAAAAAAATCTGCCAATGGAACAAGTGAAAATTCTCTTGGTAAGATTTCTTGAAATAAGACATTATATTTAAGCCTTAAAAGATATGAGTGATCTTGAAATTAGCTGGGAAAACTCATTTTTAGCTATATTTTACTAGTATTGTGATGTTTTGTGTCTCATAATAAGCTAGTCATGCTCAAAAGTAGCATTTTCTTTTGTCATCCTGTTTGTTTCAAGTGTATTTAACTAATTTTTAGTTCTATAATTGTTACACTGTTCTAGATTTAAGTCACCACCAACTTGAAATAAGATTGGAAACGGGCATTTTGAGACAAAATGCCTTGAAGTTAGCATTCCTGACTCATATTAGGCAGTGCTCTTTTGCCATAATAAGCCATAATTTACCATCCTGTCATCATCTCAAGTGTATTTAGGCTACCTTATTGTAAGCTCAACAAAAGTAATACTGTTCTAGATTCAAGACATTTTACCTACTAGATTCAAGACATTAACTACTGTTTACTAGACAGAAAAAGTGAAAAATACACAACCTTTTTTTTTTAAACAGCAAAAAGTCCCAGAGGACTGCATAAAAGGGAAACAGCTTCATTTTTCTCAACATTTTGGCTCACAGTATTTATGGAACTGCAATATGAAAACATAGTAGAACATTTTATAGATTATAAATGTAAGATCCCTTTACCCTACTCCCACACCTAAACATACCCATTTTATAGACAATATTAAAAGGATCAAACGTAATGAACATAATGTGTAGGGAAATGGCAGTTTTATTAACAATAAAGCATTAAAATATAGTTTGAGCCACTAGGCTAATCCTACCCCTACACCTAACCATTTCTTAAAACTATGTAACTAATGTTACAATTATAAAGAAAAACACAGACATAACGTTACACGTTTAATCGCAATAATTTTATTTAGTGAGAAAATGTCAAAACCGGTACCAAAAGTCGTTCACAGGACGATGTGTCGCAGTCCTCTCTGGCAGTAGGCTATATAATATATTTGTATGAGGTAACGTTATAGAGCAGAATTTAAGTTATTAATCCATGAAAACGCTAATCCGGTTTCGGTTCGCTCTTTGAAGGCGCGCGCGATTCTCCATTTCAAATGTAGTACACCATTAAACATGGCATGTCGCAATCTGTGACGAAGCATGCGAGAGCCAATGAGCGTCTGATATCACTGCTGTAAAACATGTCGTAACGCTTCGGGCGCAATTTTTGAATTTGAATTCACCACGAGCGCGGGATGCCAGGATTTGGCGTTTACGGTCTCTGCTGAGAGAAATTATGAAGATCACTGGATGAAGGGCTGAATTTGGATCTGTTTTTTGCAAACAACGCATGGATTCTAAAGATTTGGATTACACCAAGCTAATAAAATTGATGTCTTTTGTGAATTTATGTTTTAGTGTATTATGGGTCTATAGGAGAAAATGCCTTTTGTGTTTCACAATAAATAAACCAAATATTACAAAATGGTTAAACAATTAAAGAAGGTATTTTTAACCCATATGAAAAAAACCTGCATGGTTCATATACAGCAACCATATATTATCTTCCTTACTTAAATCGGCCAGAATTACCTTCTGTGTTTCATATAAGGCCAATACATGTCCTATACAAAATCAGACCGATTATGGCCCATTTCATCCTAAATAACACACATACAACTTGTAGGGGATTTTTGCGTTATATATGAATACTGTTAAAAGACTTGTATGAGTTTTACATGACAAAAGTATGCAAATGTGTATGGTATTACTCGAAATATATAAAATTCATATATAATAATTTAAAGTTCTTATATTTAATTATATGCTAGTCAAATTAAAGTCATATAGAATTTATACACATTTTGTGTCATTTGTTTATGTGTTTCGTACAGATTTCATGTTTTGATTACCAACATCTGATTCACTTATATGCAGTTGGCAGATTCTTAAAGGGATACTCCACTTTAAAAAGAAAATTCTTTCATCATATACTCACCCTCATGTTGTTTTAATCCTTTATGAATTTCTTTCTTCTGCTGAACAGAAAGGAAGATATTTAGAAGAATATCAGTAACCAGACAGTTTCTGGTCTCATTGACTTTTATACTATGTAAGTCAATGAGACCAGAAACTGTCTGGTTACTGATATTCTTCTAAATATCTTCCTTTCTGTTCAGCAGAAGAAAGAAATTCATTAAGGATTAAAACAACATGAGGGGGAGTATATGATGACAATTTTCATTTTAAAGTGGAGTATCCCTTTAAATTGTACAGTGCAGATGCCGGTTAGAGGATTACTGTCAGAATATCACTGATCTTTATGAAGACTGTTAATTTTACTACAGGATTTGAAAGAGCAGTTGAAAAGAAATGATATTGTAAGATTGTGTATTAATTGTTAACTGTCTGGGCCTGTTGTTTGTGAACAAAATCATAACATATTATTGCAAATGAACAAAGCTGAGTCAAATATGTTTCTAGAACAGTGATTAAAATTGGCTGGAATATGTTTTTGTATGTGACATGAACTCTGGTGGTGATGCACTCTAAAAACATTTAATATGATTTACTCAATTTTTTTGGTGAAACATTTTTAAACTTAGAATATTGATTAGATTTTTAAGCAGTGAAAGCAATTACTTACACTGTATTAACTGAGTAAATGTTAGTAAAACAAATTAAATAGATCCGAGTAACTGCATTTGGTACATTAACAAATAAACTTGAGTAGAAATAATTAGGGGGAAACATTTAAAAACAAATATTTATGAGTAATATAAACTGTGTTTAATATGGCAGTAATATTAACTTTTTTATTTCCTCTAAACCTTTGTAAAAAATATTCCATACAACCACCGGTATAACTACATGACATTGGCCTTTATTGTCGATTAGTAGCCTAACATTACAGCAAAACAGCATATATTTTATACTATTTTTAACACGTATGCAATATTGCCTACATCTAAACTCATGTAAGAAACATTTTCGAAGTAAAAATTAAACATTTAGGCCTAAACAATAAAGTAATTCAAGTGTAATCAACCGGTCTGTTATCCAGTATCCACCGGATCAGCGCTGTTTCGCGTGCCGGAGATGGACTCGCCTCTGCGGGGGAACCTCTAACTTTACACCGCCGTCCTGCGTCACTCACAGCCGAAAGATGCTGCGACGCGACTGACTCCATAACCTGCCAATAAACAAACAGTGCACAGTTCTGAGGACATTTTATCATCCAAATTAGTTATAATTCATTATCTTTAAGAATATAGTCGTGTGTTTTATATGCGAGGCCTTACAATCACGCGAAAAGGCAGGCGCGAGTCGACACTCGTTTAAGGCGAGTAACATTGCGTCTCTGTATGTTCCTTCACATTAAATAAAATTATTTAAAGCACATTAATGATTATACGGATAAAATAAAACATACACACCTGAATTTCACAGAGGAAATGCACCAATTCTGCGAGGCTGAGGAGAGGAGAACTGTTCTGCACTGGAGTTCAAACAGCGCGCGCTCACTCAACCGTCGAGTTGTCGTCACGTCAGAGGGTGGGGGAGGGGTGCGTTGTTGTAATCATAGACAGTAAAATACAATTTCTTATGCTTGTTAAATATTAATAATATTGATTTTATTTAAGTAATATTTGTGGTTCTTGAAACAGATTAGTTTAATTATCCATTCTCAAATATTGTGATGGAAATTTCACAAATTTAGCTCAGTGTATTTTAAATAAATAATTGGTTAGTCAAATACTAAATTATTTTAGTGAAAAACTTCAAACTTAAATATAACTGTAAATTTCAGACAAAATTTATTGTTGGAGTTTTAGTCAATTATTTCGGTAGGCTGTGTTCAACTCAAACTATCAAGTAAATGATATTCAGAGATTTTAGGTAATAAAGTTAATTATTACTGTGATATTTACTAAGCCACTGAATTATTTTTTAGAGTGATACGCATAAGAATCACTTCAACATTTAGGAAAGTTGTATGTTTGTAGGTTAAGAATAGAACTGTTGTATACCTAGTAGTACTGTGATAAAGTTTAGAGAAATTGTCACAAATGAAAATGAAATCTGGTGATGCAGGATTTAAAATGAAAACTATTGATATGTGAAATATGCAACTGTATATTGTAGAACACATTCTAATAAAATATTTTTGTAATTAAAATGTGTGCTTGTGTGTGTAGTTTAAATGTTTAAAACATATGTGGTTTTTGCAGCATATATGTCCCTTACAATATTCTGTTGGAACATATAAGAATCACAGGAGTTTTTAGCAAACCTTTTCCATATGGGGTGTAACATTAAACTATTAATAAATGCGACTGAAAATTTAATTGATAAGACAATTGAATGCAATAGAGTCAAAACCACGATTTTAATATGCATAAGTTAAATAGGAATACATACAAATTTGTACGTCGGTAAAGTTGTTTATACGTAAATAAATTACGTTTTTTTGCCGTCAATATATGTCATTGTGAGTTGTTGTGAGTTGGGCATGTTGACCTGCAGTTTTCAATAAAGCAGATTTGTTGTCTCAATTCAAGTCAAGTCTGTTTCTTGAAACAAGACGATTCATCTTTTACAAATAACACAGCAGCTTAAAAACCTTATGACATGTCAAAAAAGCTTGTTTCATCTGAGATATGACTCAAAACAAGATATTTTTAAGACAGTTTCACTTAACAAGATATTCAAGATGCACTGTCTAAAAACAAGCTCCTTTATCTCACTTAAATCTTGGTATTTAGGTGATTTTGTCTTATATTAAGTGTGATGAGATATTTTGACTAGAAATTAGAAAAATATACTTGGCAAGATTTTTAGTTTTTGCAGTGTTCTTACAAACGTTATTAACGTGGCTAGATCATTTTGGTTGATTATTTATTTATACACTTATTTTTCATAAGTGTGCAGTGTCATAACTACATCTCTGACATTTATAACAAACCAAACCGTTTGAAAATCGGTAGAAAATTGAGCAAGTTATGGTTATTTAAAAAGTACATGCACCATTAAAACAATGTTACGACTTACGAGTGAGCGAGCTGCCTGTGACAAGATGGCCGCCAGGTGCTGACGTCGACCTCCATTGGCCAGCAGCGCGGACGAGACATCTAGCGCTATTACACATCTACTGAAAGAGTACTGAATCTCTCCGGATCAAAACACAGGCGAAGAAGAAGCAGAAACAGCGATAGAAGCATTGCTTTAGCTGAGCAAAATAATGCGATCGTTAAACAGCATAGGCTATAAATCAAAACTACCTGACGTTACCGAATGAAATGTTGACTCAGGACCTGCTCAGGACGAGCTATAGAGCTGGTAAGTCCCGCCCATCCGTAAAACTCCAAGTGGACCTCTAGGTTGAAAAAGCGTCAATGCAAGTGAATGAGAGAAAATATTATTTTCTGATCCCGTTTGAATTGTGCCATGAACGTGAACATATGTTGTCTGTGAATTTTTTATATAATTTCTCATGTAACGAGTTTGACAGTATATTGTATGATTCTTTGGCTAGCAGTTGTGGAATAGACATAACGAGAAAGACTACACGTCGCATATGTGACGTCACCGCATAACACATTTTCCCTCCACAAATCACGGTGCGATAATCTAAGGAATTAGATCGAGATGCCTGTGTGTTTTGTACCCAAATGTCACCATTCAAACAAAGGCATGTTTAGCGGGATCCGTGTGCTAGTGGTGGTGACGTATATCAAACGCGTCGAGAGCAGCGAAGAGTTGTAGTCCACAAAGTGCTCTCACACAAAGTCTAACCGTATGAAAATTCTATCCGCTAAATTGTAGCATTCTTTACACGAAAAATTATATAAAAAATTCACAGACAACATATGTTTACATTCATTGCGAAATTCAAACGGGATTAGAAAATAATTATTTTCTCTCATTCACTTGCATTGACGATTTTTCAACCTAGAGGTCCAGCGGGGTAAGCGGAAGGGGCGGGACTTACCAGCTCTATAGGACTGTGAAGGTTTGTGGGTGTTGATGGACTCGATCTACTCCATCTGTGTTTTGATCATCATCGTTCTGAAACAGATCCAGACGTAAGTTAAGTTAGGCCTACTAATATTTGACAAAAACGTGAACTTCTCATCTTTTTGTTTAAAATTATTATTTATTTATTTTAATTTTTATGAAACTTACCCACATTCAAATGTTGATAAAAAAATAATGCATGAAGCTAGAACAAAATGTTTTTTTTTTTTTTTTTAAGCAGGCTCGGTTCTTTCTTCTGATGTATTGCATGATTGTTCCGATATTCATACAACAAAATATTCGGGGGCCATGATGACAATCAAAAGTGCTGGTGCTGGCTGGCAACACTGGTGGGGAAAGAGTTGCAAAATGCTCGCACTGGGGGAAAAATTCTTGCATAGTATTTTTGTCTAGTTTTCCAGTACAAACAAACATCTAAACATTCTTAATTCAAGACACAAGATATTAAGTCTTATTTTCTGAAAACATTTATTAAATTTAAGTGAGTTTATGCTTAAAACAAGGATAGCTTTCTACCTATGGGTTCAGAAAAAAAAACTTAATTCCACGGGAAAACAAGATTACCGTATTTTTCTTGCAGATGTTAAGCATAAACTCGCTTAATTTTGATAATTTCTTTTAGAAAACAAGACTTAAAATCTTATGACATTTTGCTTTTAAAGAAAATGTCTCTTCTTTTAAGAATGCTTATATATTTGTACTGGAAAACAAGAATCCATCAAATTTAGCATTTGTAAAAGTATTTAACTTGTTTGAAAAATGTCAACTTAATGTGCAATTTAAAAGATGCACAAATGCAACAGTGTCTGATTTAATGTCATTCACACAGCAGAGCTCATAAATCTACATGAATATCCCAAATAAAATGTCTTTCTTTCTCTCTACTGGTTTAGTTGGGTCATGTACGAAGAGCCGAACTATCGTGGCCGCGTGCACGTTGTGGGTAGAGGAAACTACTGCTCATTTGTGGACTGGCAAGCTGAGAATCCCAACATCCAGTCTATCCGCAAAGTGGTCAACTATTTCTAAACTTTTAAAGCAGCCTTGCTGTCTATAAAACCATAGATCAAATTATCAGAATTTTACCTTTGATTTGTATTAATGAATCACATAGCTATGTGCTTTTTATCCTCAATGATGAATCGGTTATTTTAAAAGAATATGCAATTAGCACAAATATTCTTGTATGTTTTATTTTGTATTTGTACTGAGGCAATAAGCTAAAAATAAAAGTGAATTATGAATGAGTTCTCATACTTATTTTCAGAATTCAAACATTCAGTGGCATTCTGTAATAAATACACTGCAAAAAAGTATTTTTTGTCTTGTTTTCCTGTACAAATATCTATGCATTCTTAATTCAAGATACATAAACTTGATAAGCAAATGGCAGAAAGTCTTGTTTTCTGAAAATTGAGTGAGATTTCTCTTTGAATTAATTTTTTTTTTTACCCAAATATTTTTCAGAAACTTAATATTTTAAATAATTTGTTTCTCAAGTGAAAGTATCTTGATTTAAGTATGTATAGGCTTACATACTATGAAAGTAAATGTTGATTTTGAAATATCAATAATAATACCAATATTATCCTTGGTCAAAATCAGCAGATTCCCCAGCAGAAACACATGCATTGTGACACATGCAGACATTTTCACTTTTTTTCCTTCCTGAAGAGCATGAACTATCCACCAGGGGGCAGAAGACATGTAAGAAAACTGAAGACAGACAACCTAGCAACCACCCAGCACACCCTAACAACTCCATAGCAACACCCACATTGTAGCAGTCCTGTACCAATATGTATTACAAGGTATAATGTAACAGACATTTGATATCTTAACTATCTCTTTCTTTTTTAGAATTGTATCACATTTGAGAAAAGTATCACAAGAACATGCATATAGGATTTATTTTGTCTTTCTCATAGCCTATAGCCTACACTGTACATTGTTTTAAACAAGTTGTAAAGGAAACAGAGATTATTGGAGTATGTTTTACAAGAAAATATTATTTCAGCCTTTCAACTTCAAAATTTCACATTTCATTGTGTTTACTTGCCATTTCCTTTTAATTATTATTTTTTCAGTGTATAATGGCTGTAATATACTGACCAATAATGAATTTGCCAAGCCTAAATTAAATCTGGTGATCATATAAAGCGATCGAGTCTCTTCAGAAAATGTTGACTAAACTGCTCAATAATGGATTAGTTATGGTCTCTTTATGAACTTTTTGAAGCGTCACAGTGTCAGTTGCGCAATGGAGGGACAGAAAACACTCAGATTTTATCAAAAAGATCTTCATTTGTGTTCTGAAGATGAACAAAGGTCTTACGGGTTTGGAACGGCATGAGTCTGAGTAATTAATGACAGAATTTACATTTTGGGGAGAATTAACCCTTTCAATCTCAAGGTAACCCTCCTCGAGGTTTGCTCGTCGCTTGGACAACAGTGCGAGTCTTTGTGTTGGTAAGTCTGAGAGTGTGTGAGTCTGTGAGAGGGGAATATCCTGGGTTTGTTCACGACAGCTGAGTATCCGGGGGTCTGTGGGGTGGAATGTGACCCTCTGAAGATTTTTTGTTAGCGGAGGGAACAGAGAGGACAAAGCCATGACCTCCGGGGTCAGCCAGCGCTGGGGGTTTCTCTCACTCTCTCACTCTTTCTGTCGTCAATCGGCTGTGAAGAAAACGTAGACCTGACCAAGATCAGCATGACTGGTTCATCAGAGATTTGAAACTTTCAATTTAAAAGTCCATCCATGTCATAATGTAGTTTGGTATCAGGTGATATTTGCATGTATTTTTATTCCTAGTAAAAATGTGTTCCTATTTATTGATCATAGCTGAATTTTCAGCATCATTACTCCAGTCTTCAGTGTCACATGATCCTCCAGAAATCATTCAAATACGATGATGTATTATCAATGTTGGAAACAGTTGTGCCTGCTTAATATTTTTTTATAACCTGTGATACTTTTTTCAGGATTCTTTGATAAATTAAAAGCTAAAAAAAAACAGCATTTATTTCAAATAGAAATCTTTTGTTACAATATACACCACTGTTAAAAAGTTTGGGGTCAGTAAATTTTTTTTTTTGAAAGAAATTAATACTTTTATTCAGAAAGGATGTGTTGAATTGATTTTTTTTAAAGTGGTAGTAATTATAAAAAATATTGTTAGAAAAAATATTTTGAATAAATTCTGTTCTTTTTAACTTTAATCGATTTGACAGCACTAATATATATTAGGGCAAAAGTCCACCAGTTTTATGTATTTTGAAATAATATAAATTTTGTTTAAGTATATAGGACAATATTTTATTTATTATCGATTATTGGGTTGAGCCTTTACTCGAGTGGGATGTGCCGTTAATTGTCTTTAAAGTCCACAATGTTTAATTTAACATTAAAAATGGGAGGAGTAATAATGCAATTGAAATGTACGAATGAACCTTATTGGTCAATTGTATAGGATAGGCTAATTATTTTGAATTAATTTGTTTACTGTTTTAATGAATTTAAAATAGATACAAATAAAAATAGTAACTGCAATTGAACTTATCAAGTTTCGAGTAGATTTTTTAAATTTCTTTCGTTTGACTTGTGATGATGAAGAGCAGCAGTGAGTCCACACACACACACACACACACACACACACACACACACACACACACACACAACAAACAGTGGCCCTGGTGAACATCCGGGTTTCCCGCTGGCACCGCTGCTGTGGCTCTCAGGAGCCATTTTGGACGCTGTTCAGCTTTTCGCATTTCAGTCCCTCCTGCCCCCTCCAACTGCCCCGGCAGAGGGGGAGAAACACACGAGCTCGTGCACACAAGGGGGCTTCGCTTCTACTCCAAGCGTCCGCCAAACTCTCGCTCCTCCACGCTGGCCCGGGCAGGATGAACTGCTGGATGATTGTGGCATCAGGGACTTTATTTCCGATCAGCTCGCTTCTAAAGGAAACATTGTGTTGTTGTGAATGAGCGCTCGTGTTGTTATTGTAGCGTTGAAGAAACGCGCGCAGGCCCGCGGCTCCTTCGCGTTCATGTGTTTTATTTCATTCTTAAATGCTTTCACGGCATAAAGGACAACATTTAGCGCCAGGATCCTCGAAGGAAGGAATATGTTTGTTCCCTGGCTGACTTTTGCACTCATCTGGTGCACAGGTAAGGTGTTCGTTTACACAGATTTGGTTCAAAACGATAGTATCTGATTGGCTTTGTTACTAAACCTAGTCAGCTGCCTATCTAAACAGCGTTTCTAGTTCGCACGTGAAGCCCAATAATGCTATCTAGGTAGGCAGCGCACTCGGTTTTGAAACACGGCCAGTGTGTTATCAAACCATTCCAGCGTGTGTTTGGGTTCAATGTAACATTAATTTGTTGTTCACTCACGTGGGTAGCCTACTTTGATATATTTCTTTAGTTGTGGTTCTTCAGGTTGCTCGACCTGGCTGTTTTAAAGTTTCTTCTCGTGAGAGATTTCTGGTTGTTTAAAGGCTCAATGGGCACAAAGTAAAAAACAGCTGGTGGCGTGTTGAAACAATCGCTCTCCACAAAACATTTAGCAGATTCACCTCATGTCTTCATGCTACATTTGGTTTCCCAACTTGGTTTGTTTTCAGGGCAGGTTTATAAGACATTTTAGATATAAAATAATAAACATCTCTCATTTCTTGGCTGGGATTGTTGCTTTTTTACATTGTGTTCAGTCCTTTATAATAAATATGAGGACAAACACAATATTTGTATTATATTTAAAGCATTTATAATTTATTTTATTTATTATTATTATTATAGTCATGAGCTGCCAAGTGTTTATTAAAAACTGCAATGCACTTTAACTAAATTAGTTAAATATAAAAAATTATAACAATAACACTAAAGTAAGCATCCGGTGCTGTCAAAAGAAAGAAAGAACTAAGTTATTTTTAAATAGTAATAGGTTCAATTGTGTTAAAAGAATAAAGGCAAATAAAAACTTTTTTAATGGTTATGGGTTGAGCATTGGGTTTAATGGTGTCAAAAAGACAGAAAAAAAATAGAAATGTTATTAATAATAATGAATCCGTGTATCTTTCGTTCAATTGTGTTAAAAAAGACAAGCCAAATAAAGAGAAAATAATAATAACAGGCTAAGGTGGTGTAGTGACATAAAAAACAAACACACAAATAAAGGTTAGGATTTATATATATATATTTATACACATCTAATCAAAATTGGCTATATATATATATTTAGAGAGAGAGAGAGAGATTAATATATGTGTGTGTCCTTTTATGTAGCCACTTTTGATTTCCCTTTTAGTCCAGACTGTGTGTTTGACCAGCAGACAAAGCGTTCTGCTTTGTCCAGTTATTGATGCTGATGTATTGATTCATTGTTTTAAGGAACAGTGAGGATATCTTATCCTTAAAGCTGATTTGTAGGAGTCCCTTACAGGTCGCTGTGAGGAGGTAACCCCCTCAAAACAAAAGAGTCTTTGATACACCCCTCTAGATCAGTGTGTGTGTGTCAGCTGCGGGGTGGTGACAGGGTGAAGAAAGGTAAAATCTGGTCGCTTCGGCGTGAATGCGCACCACAGGGGATCTTAGAAATACACTTACTCTGCGTGTGTGAATGAGGAAAGTGGAGTGCTGTGGGTTTTAAGTAGGGGGCTGCTGATGTAATTCACTCTGATCATGTGACACCCAGTATCAGTGACAAAGAAGCTATAGATTGAACGTGCCCATCTATCGGCAGGAAGTAGCCATTAAAAGCACGATGAACATCAACTTATAACATGAACCCTGTTGCTAAAGCTTTTGTAGCCATTATTTCTGTTGACCCTGGGTGCTTTAGTGAGTAGGTGGGGTCACATTTGCAGGGGGGATGGGTGGCCGGCAACTATGTCGAATTTAAAGGGGCAGACTTTGTTTTTATTTTATTTTTTAAAGCATGCAATGAGCATAAACCTCCTTGTCGGTGTAGCCCATCCAACATTATGTCATAATCTGTATTTTCCCCTATTTAAATCTGACTCTAGGAGGTCTTTCTCCTCGCCTGTTGTGTGGATCTTATGCTATGTAAACATCTCACAATCCATGACCCAGTTCTTTGTGCAAATGTGTGCGGTGATGCACGCCGTCGGTTATATGAAGAAGTGCCTTCTGACAGCTGATCCGACATCTGGATTTGATTAGGTGGTTTTCTTAAAGACCACAGAAACTCAATTCACGGGTCTTAAATCGTCAACCCCTGAAGCATGTGGTTTGTGGCTGTGTGTTTTGGTACTGAGGTTTGATGGCTAGTTGAACACTCACTGGGGTTTCTGATGAAGGGTTTTTAAGTGTTCAAATGTCTCATTAGGTTTTGATTGACAGGTAAATGTTGCTTGTTATCTATTGAACTACTTTGCAACTATGAAAACCGATATTTGATATATTATATAATAGTTATTCAGCTATTTGTCGACTAATACCTGGATAGATGCAGCCACACTTCTAATGCATTATGCATACCAAAATATATATATTTTTTAAAGATAGCAAAAGCAAAACATTTGTTTTTTTGTTGTAGATCATTTGCAATGCATCAATTGTTTGCATACACTATGGTTTTGTTTTGTTTTCTAATACACTAGTGTGTATTATAACTACTGTGTCCAATGCATTAAAAAAGCGGACATAAGTGAATCCCAGTGAGCTTCAGAAGACATTTTTAAATATATTCTTTTTTAATAGAGTGCTGCATTGTTGTATTTTTTTTTAGCTCAACCCAGAAGTTAACATCACCCTTTTCACTCAACAAAACCCCAATAAGATTTGTTCATTGGTTTTTGGATTATTGCATAAAAAAAGCTCTGTGACCAACAAAAGTTTTTAATTCTTCCACGTTTTGTTCATGTTGAGATTCACAGATTAACTATTATGAATTTTGAAGCCTAAATACAATCGCTAGAAGTTAAGTTAAATATAGGCTGTAAGCGAATTACACAAGTCACATTACCTCAGTCACCACCAATAAGCTTCCGAAAACTCTTTCAATCTTTATTTAAAGAAACAAAAAAAGGTTTGAGTTAGGGTTTGCAAGAGCGCGATTTATAAAAACAACAAGGCTATGAAAGCGAGTGAGTAGATGAGTTTACCTGAGGACGTAACATCCCTGACGAACCTATATAGTCTCATTTAGACACTTGTTAGCAACCGCCTATTACAAGACAAGTAAAAGCTTTTTTTTTTTTTTTTTTTTAAATCACAAGGGGGTATTACTGATGTATTTCACGTCATAGAATAAAATGTGACAATATCTTAAAGCAGTGGTTCTCAACTCCAGTCCTCGGGACCCGCTGCTCTGCACATTTTGTATGTCTCTCTTATCTGACACACTCAGTTCAGTTCATAGTCTATCCTAACGAGCTGAGGATCTGAATCAGGTGTGTTAAATAAGGGAGACATACACAATATGCAGAGCAGTGGGTCCCGAGGACTGGAGTTGAGAACCATTGTCTTAAAGCATGTGTTCACCACAGACCTTATTTCCGGCATTTAACCAAAAACTCATTGGCTGTGTCCGAAATTGCCCCCATACCCTTAAATACAACACTATTTCAGGGGACAGCCATTTGTAGTGGTGTCCGAAACCATAGTGGACATTATCAAGTGCACTCATTCAATCCACAATGCACTGTGATAACGAGTGTACAACCGATGTACACTCGACGGCTAGAGAATACCCATAATGCACTGTGAGAGTCGCAAGCCAAATGAATTCCCGCTCATGAAGATGCCGCCCCCGGCTGAATCATCCATCCATTTTCCAAACACAGCCATTGACTTCAGGACGATGGAATCGGAAGTGCAACTGATTTCTGTGTTCTGGCCTAGAAACATTTTCCCTGGCAAATGCATTAAAGATTGGGAAATAAATGCATGTATTAATATCTCTGTGTCTGTCTTTCTCTATCAGGAGCCAGTCATGCGGAGGTGGCGACCAGAGAGTGCGTCTACTACAATGATAACTGGCGGACAGAGAAAACCAATCAGAGTGGCTTTGAGAGGTGTGAGGGGGAGAAGGACAAGAGACTGCACTGTTACGCCTCCTGGCTGAACTCCACCGGGACCATCCGCCTGGTCAAGAAAGGCTGCTGGCTCGACGACTTCAACTGTTACGACAGGTCTCGTCAAAACCACCGTTATATAATCTCACTGTTTGATTCTAAAATTCTTTTAATAGATAATTTGAAAAAACAGCATTTATTTGCATCCTTTGCAAGTGTTCAATGAGGACTGGAAACGTGAACTTTTTGGAAAAGCTTAAACAATGTTTTTTGCAGATGTGCTTGCTGGTTTTCTTGCAGACATCAAAGGCTCTGTTTACAGCTTTTATTAAGATGCGTTTTGGTCGTTCGGATCACAAGTAGACAAAGGAGACACATTCCCGTTCACACCTGGTGTTTTAATCCGTCTCTTCTGTCCACTTTCAACCACTTCTGTCCTGATTTCTTCGAGGGGAGGGGCTATGGGTGGGTAAATTATGTGTTTTCAGATCTTTTGATCTAGGGGACAAAATAAGCTCACGAAATTTACACATGAACGCGCCTGAAGACGACAGAAAAACACACGGAGAGCATCAGCTTTAGTTTCTGCTCTGACAGCCGCAAGACCAGCCGAACGCTGTGAGTGTGTGTTAGAAATCAGGAATGGTGAGAGAACATTGTGCTTGATACGTTTTTGTTTTCAAACCAGTAGGCGGAGAGTAGGCGTCTTTTGTCGCTGTTCAAACACATTCGATCACATGAGTGTTTACACTACGAAAGCAATCCGGTTGAATGTGTTTTCAAACACTTCTCTGGAAGTGGTCAAAAGTGGACAAACTCAAAACGTTTTAGACCCCGTTTACATCTGTATTTAGTGTCGTCCACTTGTGATCCAAAGTGCATCTTAATCTAAATGTAGTAAAGTTGGCCCTGTTTACACCTGGTATTGATTCTATAATTTAGCAATGCCTTTCTACCACATAGCAGTCTTAAAGTGGTCGGTATGATTCTTTGGGGTCTTCATGTAGAGTTTGTAACATACTTTGGGTAAAATTTTTCAATGGTTGTGTAACACACCCTTTTTACCTCCTCAAAAACAGCTCTGTTCACAGCGACCCATTTCAGCGCATGTCTCTTTAAATGATAATGAGCAACTGCTCACCCCCATCCCCCCCTCCTCTCTTCTGTGGGGTGTGTGACACAAGACATGTAAAGCGATGCCTTGGTGGACAGAATACAAATGGCTGAGGGCGGTAATATGCTAATATGGGAAATATGCTAATACGGGAAATATGCTAATACGGGACAGTCCGTCATCGGTCGTGGGCGGAGCATGAGCAATATGACATCATATTCCTCAGAAAATCCAAATGGCTTGAGTGTGTTTAGGCTTTTTGAGGATAAAAAAAAGGAGTGAATGGATTTTTTTTTCATTGTATGGTGGTTGTGTCCACACACTGCAAAGACACATTTATATGCAAACACCACATAAAAGTAAATTTTGCATCCGATGACCCATTTAAATTGAAAAAAAAAAAATGGTAACGCTTCCTTTTACAGTCCTGTTACCCATGTACTTACTATGTACTTATTATTGTAACTATAATTACTGGGTAATAACTAGGTACTAACCCTGAACCTACCCCTAACCCATGTACTTACCTTATATTAGCCAGTACTTTCTAGGTAAGTACTGTACTGTAAAAGGAAGCGTTACCAAAAAAATCAGTGCAATGTTACAGCAACAACTAATTTTTTAATTCATCCCTTTCACTGTTTCTCTGTGTGAGCAGACAGGAGTGTGTGGCCACAGAAGAGAGTCCGCAGGTGTTTTTCTGCTGCTGTGAGGGAAACTATTGCAACGAGAAGTTCACACACCTGCCAGAAGCCATCGCCCCCGCAGGTAAAGCAGACTTCATGTGTCTCCTTCAGGCTCCTCTGGACTGCAAATAGTCATGATTGTCAATGTTTTGTGTAGAAAACAACCTGTCTGTCATGTTTTTACCACGCTTAAAGGGTTAGTTCACACAAAAATGAAAATTCTGTCAGTAATTACTCACCCTCATGTCGCTCCAAACCCGTAAGACTTTCGTTCATCTTCAGAACACAAATGAAGATCTTTTTAATAAAATCTATGAGATTTCTGTCCCTCCATTGAAAGTCTGTTCACACAAAACTCTGACACTTCAAAACGTTCATAAAGAGATCATAAAATAAATCCAAATGAATTCAGCAGTTTGATTCAAGTCTTCTGAAGAGATACGATCGCTTTATATGATGAACCGATTAAATTTAGGCTTTTATTCACATATAAACATTGATCAGCGAACATAAACAGAAACTCAAGTGTACTTGCTTGACTCACAAGAACTAAACTCATTTGTTCCTCCTCCTGTGACCATCACAGAATATGATGGATTAATATAAAGTTGATGTGCGGCCATAGCTGTGTGATTTTTATAATGGCTTCAAACTTTTTTTTTTTTATATATATAATTTGCATTTTATTTTATACCCGAATATATTTCTTGTCTGCTATTGCTGTTGAGCTGATATTATGTTGTGTGTTTTCTTCTAGTAAAAATCCAGCCTCCAGACCCGGGCCCGTCTCTCTTTGGCGTGCTGGTTTATTCCCTTCTTCCTCTGGCCATTCTCTCTCTGGTCCTGGTGCTCGCCTGCTGGACGTACCACCAACGGAAACCACCCTACAGACACGTCGACATTGGCCAGGTCTGACAATTATGTGTGTCTTAGTGCGTTTTCAGGCCTGTAGATCGTTTGCTTTGTACCGAAACAGGGACATAATTTGTTACAATGTTGCATTTTCTTCTTGGTTCGATGCGTACCAAAATGTCTTTGTGCAAGTCACATGCGACTGTCCTTTTATTGGTCAGAGTTTCCTCTGTGTCATCCATCAAAATGGATTGACACGTTTGCTCCACCAGCATATTGTGGCTTTATTTGTTACTGTCGTGGCACATTCAGACACTATACGAACGTAGCCGTCATTCCCGCTCTATCTGATAAATGATACATAATGCAGTTAGAGCGGGAATCAAGGCTTTGTCGGGACAGCGTTTTTGCAATGCACAGAGAAAAGCAATTACACGTCTAGATTTAAGATGAAGAGACACTCTTTGGTGTTCAACTGCGATAACTAATATACTCAGAGAGTCAGACACTGCTGCTTTTGATATTACACATTTCCCGCTATGAATTCTGATACCGCTTGTTTCATTGGTCGTTAGGTCGGATTGCTTTCTCGCCTCCACAGAAGCGTCTTTGTTTTTTTTCAATCGGGCCGAGACCACCTCGTTCAGGCGATCTCGGATTGATTGTTTTGGTGCGGATCCCGAGCATGATTGCCGTGTTCATATTTGCCTAAATTTATTTTTATTTTTATTTAACCTTTATTTAACCAGGAATAGTCCCATTGAGTTACAGTAACTCTTCTCCCAGGGAGTCCTGGCCAAGATAGGCGGCCAAAAAGTTGCAAAGAAAAAAAAACATTCATACTACATGAAACATAAAAAAAAAAAAATACATACTACACAACAAATCTCTATACACAGACTATACATATACAAACAAGACATTTTGTTTAACTTAAGTAAATACAAACATATAATTTAAAGGGTACCTAGTTAAAAACAATTAAACCGTTCAGTCAAAGTTGACTTTAAAAGGTTTTTAAAAATATGATTTTTTTTTAAAGCGAACTAAAGCAGAAACCAACGCTCCGAACGAACCAGATTTGAAAACGCCCTTGGATAAAAATGTGCTTAATATTTTTGCTAGCTCCATACACTACCATTCTTTTTTTTCTTTTCTTTTTTAAGAAGTTAAGTTTTATTTAGCAATGATGCGTTCATTTTATCAAAAGTGACAGTTATAATGTTACAAAAGATTTATATTTCAAATATATTCTGTTCTGTTGAACTTTCTATTCAAAAAAGGATCCGCAAAGAATTTTATTACGGTTTCCACAAAATTATAAAACAGCACAGCTGTTCTTAACATTGATAATAATAAGAAATGTTTCTTGAGCAGCAAATCATCATATTTGACTGATTTCTGAAGGATCATGTGACACTCAAGACTGGAGTAATGATGCTGGAAATTCACATGAATAAATTACATTTGAAAATATAATAAAATAGAAAATGGTTATTTTAAGTTGTAATATTTCACAATAATACTGTTATACTCTATTTTTGATCAAATAAGCGTAGTGAGTGAGCAAAAGAGACTTCTTTCACAATGTATGTCATACTAAATGTATGTTCTTCTTTATATGTGCTTTTAAATGCGTATTAATTGTGATTGTCTTGATTAGGATGCTGGTCTTCCTCCACCGTCTCCTCTGGTTGGACTGAAGCCTCTGCAGTTGCTGGAGTTGAAGGCTAGGGGGCGCTTTGGCTGTGTGTGGAAGGCCCAGTCACTGAGCGAATATGTGGCGGTGAAAATATTTCCCATCCAGGTACATATTCCACTCATGCATCTTGAAAAGAGGATTGCTTGTTTTGGTTTTCTCAAATGAGTTCTAATGTGTGTGTGTGTGTGTGTGTGTGTATAATGCTTGATTCTGAAACAATGTGTATATTAACAGGACAAGCAGTCATGGCAGAACGAAAGAGACATTTACCTCACAGAGGGTTTTAAACACGAGAATATTCTACACTACATCTCAGCTGAAAAACGAGGCACCAACCTCCAGATGGAGTTGTGGCTGGTCACAGAATTCCACGAAAGGGTCAGTGTGTGTGTTTAATTTTTCTTCGAATGTCCCTATAACACACAACCTCATTGTGGGGTGAAATGGGCCAAATGATGTTTTAAAGATGCACCGAATAAAATCGGTTGTATCTAAAGATATGCATAGAAGCAATCATAATGGCATAAAAATGTCCACATCTTTATTCATTGCAGGGCTCGCTAACAGATTACCTGAAGGGGAACCCGGTGAGCTGGCCTCAGTTGTGCCATATTTCTGCAAGTATGTCCCGTGGCCTGGCGTACCTTCATGAAGACCTTCCTTACCGTGCAGAGGGACCTAAACCAGCAATTGCACACAGGTACACAAACCTGAGCTTGCAGCATTTGATGTGTACTTTTAAAAGAGTTTTGCTGTCACTGTAGGCATTGGGTGATTTGATGTTTGTTTTGCAGAGATTTCAAGAGTAAGAATGTCCTGCTCAAGATGGATTTAAGTGCAGTGATTGCAGACTTTGGGTTAGCGGTCCGCTTTGAGCCTGGGAAACCGCCTGGAGACACACACGGTCAGGTGAGGATCTGAGTGCAAACAGATGAAGCCAAGGCTTTGACTACATTTCACTTCATATATCCACCGAAAATATCTGAATTCAGTTTGAAGTAAAAAAAAACAACAAAAAAAAACATTCTGCAGCAATATACACAAACAGTTTGGGGTCGGTAAGATTTTCTTTTTTCCTTACCAAGGCTGCATTTATTTGTTAAAAAAAACACAATAACAGGAATATAGTGAAATATTATTACAATTTTAAAGAACTGTTTTGTATTTGAATATGTTTTAAAATGTAATTTATTCCTGTGATCAAAGCTGAATTTTCAGCATCATTACTCCAGTCTTTAGAGTCACATGATCCTTCAGAAATCATTCTAATATGCTGATTTGCTGCTCAAAAAAAAGTCTTATTATCAATATTAAAAATAGTTGTGCTGCTTCATATTTTTGTGGATTCTGTGATGCATTTTTTCAGCATTATTTAATGAATAGGAACTTCAAAAGAGCAGCATTAATTTGAAATTGAATTTAGAAATTTGAACTTTATCATTGTCTTAACTGTGAATTCTGATACGTTCAATGCATCCTTGCTGAATAAGTTATTTCTTTAAAAAAAAAAAGAAAAAATGCATTGACCCCAAACTTGTAAAAGGTTTCTGTGAAATTGTATATCAATATTAATTGTTGGTCTTCAGGAGCATCAATTCAGAAAAAAATAAAAACAAAATATGCTCACCTAGTTGAAATCTATAAATGCAAATTTAAAGAAACACTAGTCTAACCCATCTTATACTTTAAGTTTTCCATTGTGTTGTGAAAATATTGCTGCTCTTATGATAAAGTGCTTGTGATGTTTCTCTTCGTCTTGGAATAAAACGTTTGACGTTTTCAGTCCGAGATCAAATCAGTTTTACAGAAGGATTATAAAAAATGAAAAAGCTTAATAAAAAGAAAAGGCAAATGTGTCAGTCCCAACACATCTTCATTACTTCAAATAAATAATGTTAAAGAAATCTGGAGCAATATATATATATATATATATATATATATATATATATATATATATATATATATATATATATATATATATATATATATATATATAAAAGATTACATCATTTTTCATTTAGCCAATTATAAGATAAAGTACAAATTTGAATAATAGGATGTTGCCAGGTTGTCGCCAAACTCCTCTGGAATGACAGTGAAGCTGTGTCTAACATGTGTTTGTGTTTTCTGTACCCGTCACAGGTGGGAACGCGCCGTTACATGGCTCCAGAGGTGCTGGAGGGAGCCATTAATTTCCAAAGGGACGCCTTCCTAAGGATCGACATGTACGCTCTAGGACTGGTGCTCTGGGAACTGGTGTCTCGCTGCACCGCCTCTGATGGTGAGTCCACACACATATCAGGATCTGCGGCTCTGTGTGTGCAGTCAATGAGTTGCTTCTGGAATTTATGCATGTTTAAATTAATTTAATTACTTGCTGAGGAGAATACTAAACCGTAATGAGTGTATACTATATATAGCCTAATCAGCGCTCAAGCTCGCACATACAGCTTGCTGCAAAGCACCAACAAAAAAAAATTTATTATGAATGTGAAAAATAGGAAGGAGATATTTTAATTATTTATTAATAAACCAGTGTTTTTTGAGTCAGTGTCAGCTCCCATCTCCGCTGTATAGTGAAATGCACCTTTCACACGGGTTACATAATCAGAGTATTTCTATTTTAGTTGAATTGGTTAGTTTAAAAGTAGACATTTCAAGCTTTCTATAGATATATTGCTCATGTCTATGATGCAAGTATCCTGAGGTTGGGTTCATTTTTGGGACACGTAGTAGCTTACTTTAAGAATACTTTATCTTCCACACTCTACACAAATGCTTGGATATGCGCCATTTATCTAGGTTAACATTAGAGCGAGCTAGTAACTTTTTTTTTTTATTACCGACTAGTTAAATTTTGGTCGTCTCAGCCTCTTCAATTCGACTAACGTTTAGTCAACTATTAGGGGTAGCCCTGATATTGTGTGTGCTGCAGCTAATGCTGTTGCTGTCTCACTCAGGTCCTGTAGGTGAGTACCAGCTGCCCTTTGAGGAGGAGTTGGGCCAGCACCCTTCCCTGGAGGACCTTCAAGACGCGGTGGTCCACAAGAAGATACGGCCCATCTTTAAAGACTGCTGGATTAAACATCCAGTGAGAAAATACATTTGAATAGGAATTAGGGCTGCACTGTTAATCCAAATCAAACCAAAACCACGATATGTGCTGTATTGTCACTGTGTTCCTTTACACGCGAGCAGTTCCTGATCTGCTTGTTTTCAGCGGTTCACAGTAAATGCTGATCCACATAAACTTCATCTCTGCATCTGCTTTGAGTTTGGTGCTCTTGCATGCTCTCTACATTTGGGTATTTTATTTAGTAATTATTTTAATATTTTTATTTAGTTATAATAATAATAATAAACTTTATTATTATTATTATTTCGTAGCCATATTCATAAATGACCATTTGATTTTGGCCAAATTGTGCAGCCCAACAAACAAGCATTTCTTATTTTAGTTGTCTTTTAGTCATTTAAAATTTTATTTAGTAGTAATAATAATCATGATTGGTATTTTGTAGCCATATTGATATATATTTACAAAATTTTGGACAAATTGTGCAGCCCAACAAACAGGCATTTCTTGTTTTGTTTTCATTTAGTAATTTTTAAATTATTAAGTAGTAATAATATTATTTATTATTATTATTATTTTGTAGCCATATTTACAAAATTTGACACATTGTGTAGCTCAACAAACAAGAATTTCTGGGGGGGTTTTCATCTAGTAATTGTTTACATTTTTATTTAGTATTAATAATAATAATAATTATTATTATTTTGTAGCCATATTGATATATTCACAAAACAAGCATTTTGTTTAAATTTAGTCATTTTTATCTAGTAGTAAGAGTAATAATAATATTATTATTATTAATTTTATAGCCATATTGATATTCACAAAACAGCAAACCTGTATTATTATTTTTTTTAAATCGCAATTTAAATCAGAACCCCACCCCCTTTAGGCCTAAAAATCAAATATTCTAAATAATCCGGGGTTTTATTTTGACATGTTTCTCACCACCAGGGTTTGGGCCAGTTATGCGAGACCATCGAGGAGTGCTGGGACCACGACGCCGAGGCTCGGCTCTCTGCGGGCTGTGTGGAGGAGCGCATCTCCACCGCCTCCAAGGCACCCAACACCATCAACACGTCTACCTCAGAGTGCCTGGTCTCCATGGTCACGTCTGACAGCGACACGGACCTTCCTCCCAAAGAGTCCAGCACCTGAACCTGAACGCTGCAGAGTAATCAACCTCTCCAGTAATGTGAACTTTGCTGCTAATTTGATCTCTTGATCGTCATGTATTTAAGTTTTTCGCATCGTTGGATCGGTTTCACCAGCACATTCAACTACTGTATTCTTCCTCTCGGAAGGCAGACACACAAAAAAAACCTCAAACGTGAGAAGACTGAACTCTCAGAGGGCATTCAGGGGATTGTTTCAGACTGCTGGGATATGAGCACACGTTACCTCATCAGTTTTAATGCCATTTTTATGTTGTTTTTTTGCCTTCACTCCATGAATACCTCCATCCGGATTGATCGAGACTACGCGACGATCTGATGACTGTTACACTAAAGCAACCTTCCCAAGAGCACACAAGGTCCTCTTTGTTCTCAGTGAATTTTAGCCTAGTTTTATTGCTGTTTACCTGTACCCTTTCTTCCCTGAAATGTCTCGTGGGATGTTGTTTTTCTTATTTGCGTTTGTGACGGCAGTGGTCTGGGACACTGGAAGCTGAAGGCAGCAGGACTGTTATGATTTGAGTTGCCTTTCGGAGCGTCGGGATTGATTTTAATGTAGCATCCGCTTATCGTTGACGCATTAAATTGAAGTATCAGAAGTGCCATCGGTAGAGCATCCCGAGCGGCGTGTTTTAGCGTTCGTTGTTTCTGCGTGACAAGAGCTGCAGTTGAATTTTTTTATTTTTTTTGCGCTGCGGCCGCACAAAGACCAGCGCTGAGTTACAGGTTTGATTTTCAATCACAGCTAAATGTATCGGTGCATCAGGAAAGTGTGTGATGTTTCTCCACTACACTACTCAGGTAAACTCTGTGCACGTGATTGTGTGACCGCTCACTCTTACAGCAATAGTTCTCAGCAGTATGGTGAATCCTGGGTCATAAATGATCTTCAAATCAAAATGGAAAAAATATTGAATTATACAGTTAGGAAACTCTGTGCTCCAAGAAATTAAAGAAATTTTTAGGGCCAAGAGTGCCGTTATTTTAAACACATTTTCTCCAAATTATCATTGGCGTAATGCTAAACAATTAAAATGAAAAGAATGATTAAAAAGAAATTAGTGCAAGGAATTTGGTACAACAAAAACTACCTTAAAATATATTTTATTTGTAGAGCACAATTGTAAAATATATTTACAGATGTGCTTTACAAATGTTTAAAAAATTCTTGCATCAGTAGTAAAACTTTTTATTAATTTTTTTGCACATCACGAGTGATTTAAAAAAATATATATATATTATTGCCAAAATGGGCTTAATTGTCATGTCACAATATAAAAAAAATCATAATGGTCCTAAAATAGGATTAGTTTTCTTTTAATTTAGCAGAAAATAAAGCAAAATTTGGGCTTTTGCAGCATACATTTTATAGCCATAATTAAGCAACAGTTTTGTCCCCCAAGTTTATCATTACCGTAATGAAAAAAAAAAAAAACACTGTCTCGCAGAATAGAAATAATTTAAAAAGATTTTTGTTCTATTGATGTGAAGCACAACAAAAATGACCTTAAATACATTTACAATCATATTTTACAATTTAAATGTTTTTTTCTCGAATCGTAGTAATGAGTGTTTACGTAATGAGTGCATTACGGTAATGATAACAAAATCTGAACTATTATGAAAATAATGTCAAAATATAAAAAGCATAATGGTCCTAAAGTAGGTTTCATTCTCTTTATGGAACATTACATTTCGCAGAAAATAACGCTCTTTTTTTGGCCGTTTCAGCATTTATTGTATAACAATTAAGCAACAATTTCTCCCCCAAATTATCATTATCACAATGCAAAAAAACAAAAGCACAGATTTTTTTTTTTTTTTTTTACTGCTGTAATGAGAATAAAATGTGCTGAAATGTCTTTAGGACCATTATGATTTTTTTTATATTGTGACATTATTTTAAAGTAGACTCTATTCACTTAATGCAACGTTTAGTTTCTTATTTTTTCTGTTGATTTTTGAGGTGAAACATGACCTGGACATTTCTTGATTCACGATCATCACAGCAGTGGTGATTTCTCAGAGCTGGCCTGTTTCAGCAATAACTTCAGCAGTGAAGAAGACTGAATGTCCGTAGTGCTGGAATCTGCTCTGTCAAACTGTTCAATCATCTCATGGACTCCCAGTGTTGTTCAGAAACAGGCAGCTTTTATCAAACTCGTTCAGCGTGACACTAAAACCATCACTGAATATCCACCTTCATACGCTCAGTGATTAGATATACCTCAGAAATTGTGAGTTTTTTTTATATACAGTATATATATATATAAAGAATTTTATTCTGTTTTGTGGTAGCAATATAATTTAATATACAGCTGCTTTTCTGTGATTTTAAAGGAGATCTTTTTATTTTTAATCAGTTGTTTTTAACAGAAGGTGCTCTGAATTTGATCGCCAGGTGCTCGGTGCATTTCACAACTTTTTTTTTTTTTTTTGAGTCAAGCATCCGCAGGTGAAATAGCTTCTGTGGTTCAGAATAACTGTTCTCTGCGGACATGCAAACCTTTCACAGTTGTGTTTTTCGTTTGTTTGTTTGTTTTTGTGGTACATGTATTTTTCTTCCTTCGTCTCCACCTTAACAATTGTATTAAGTTGGATTTGTCTATTATCAAATCAGGGATTTGAAATATAATTAAAGTATTGCAGTGCAAGTTGTGCAAATTTTAGTTTAAGCCAAACTTTGTATCCTATATCAGGTGTTGATGTGTGATGTAAATAACGATATTAGATCCGCTAACTGATGTAGTTGAAGCATCTTTTACTCTTGTTATATTTCTCTACGTTTCACACAAACTGAAGAAGTGTTCATACATTAGGACTACCTGAGTACAGATTTCCCATGATCCTTTGCTGGCCTGATGTGGGCTGGTTCTCATTAAGGAGATATGATGGAGGTCTGTTGATGTGTTTTTTAATTATTTTTACTGCTGCTAATGTAGTAAATGTGTTGTGTTGCCCCTGTTTGGGTCATTTCAGATTCTGCTGCCATGTTCAGTATTTTGTTGAATTAAACATTACCCATGTTTCTCACTTAAACGTCCTGTTTGTCGGATGTAGAGACTTTTATTTATTTGTATTTCTCTGTCTCTTTATTTATTGTCCCTTGTCTTTTTATTAGCCCACACATTTTTTTCTTTGAAAATGTTCAAAAAGATAGGTAATTGCGACTTTATAACTCGCAGTTCTAACTTTTTTTCTGTCAGAAATGCGAGATAAACTCGCAATTGGATGTGATATTACAGAAGATGTGACTTGATTCATCTGACCACATTCGTTTATGTGAACGAGTAGGCCTATATTGTTTTAGACAAATACATTCTAACCTGTAGTTTTTGAGCAATTGTCAATTATACAAATACAGTTTTTTTTTAAGATTGCATTCACTTACACACTTGGCTTAAAAAATAATTTATGACGCTTTGTTATGACTATATGCATCAGCAGAGGGCAGTGTGTGTTCTCATGATCTCTCAGCGCATGCGCTCATGTCGGACAGATGTTGAATGCAAGGTTAGGAAGCAGGACATATGGACAGTCCCATTTAATTCCCGCAGAAATCTCGCCAGACTCCTCTGTCCCTGTAAGGATATACGACAATACACCAGGAATGACAAATGACTGAAATCCTCAGAGAGTCACACGACAACCTGCTTAAAATAGACGTTAACGGTTCTATTAAACAACAAGACGATTCATTTGGCCGTGAGTGTTTTGGTTTATCAGTAAAAAAAAAAAAAAAAAATTCTTTCCTAGAAACCTTTTAATGCAAGTCTGTTTGCTTAAAAAAGTCTTAATTCACTCTTCCACAAATTAAAGCCCAAAAGGTGTTAATTTAGAACAGAAAGTCTCAAATTCATGAAGTCATAGCATTAAATGCTGCAGTTTTTATGTCTTCCAATACAAAAAAAAACATGAATATCCTTAAATCAAGATACTTGAGCTACAAAATAAACATAAGTTTTGTTCCTTTACGAGAGCGGTAACTACATTGTGTAGCAACGCTGCGGGAACTCCTCCCTTCTCCACTTTTGTTGAAATCTTATGGGCTAACGCCAGCTTGGAACAGCTGACCAATTGTCGCGAAGTATGCAAATACTGACAGGCTTGAAAAAAATCTTTTTTTTCACGCTGCCATCATGGAAGCTGCACCAGGACGACTAGCAACCTTTTTCTCCAAGCATCAGATGGCTTCAACTTGCCAGATTTGTGCGTGGCCCTATCGACCCGCCCGACGAACATGAGTTCTCGCCTGACTGGGCCTCGCTCACGCCGAGGGGGCCTTCACGGACTCCACGAGCACCCACTGCGCCAAGCTGCCGGTGTGCACCCTAAGAACCAGGAGGGATATGGTTCGTGCTATAATGGGGACGAGGCCCACTGCCGCCAGCGAGGCGCTGGTGGGCCCTCCACCGCCTGGAAACGAAGATGACGACGGGGCCTGGAGCCGCCATCATCCATAGTCATCACGCTCACCTGTCCTCTTTAAACCTCCAGGAGGAGCTCATCAGAGTCCTTAGCAAGGCTGTCAAGGAGCTGGACATGACGTTGAAATGCTCCAGACGAGCCTACTAAGAGTAAGCTGGACTCGTGGTATCTCCAGTCAGGCTGCCACCAGGCTGCTTCGAGGAGGACTCCATTCTTTCCGGACATCCACGAGCACGTGGTGAAGTCGTGGTCTGCACCCCAATCGGCGCGCACCCACTCTGCCACGCAGGCTATGTTTGCCCACGTGCTGGGGCGGAAGCCCACGGCTACGTGTGCATGCCCCCTGTTGAGGAGAACGTCGCCACAAACCTGTGCTTTTCTTCTTCTTTGAGCACGGACCTCAGCCTGCCGTCCAAGACGTGCAGATTCACGGCCCACCAGGCTGACAAGGCCTACGCATCCACATCTGCTCTTCTCTCCATGGCCATACTGCAGGTGTTCCAGGCCAAACTTCTGCAGTCCCTGGATGGTGGCGACGTCATCAAGGATCTGCGCGCGGTGACGGACCTCGCACTTATGTTATCTGGACGATTGGCTGATTTTAGCTCACTCAAGGGATGTGCTAATCAGTCACGTGGAAACGCTGCTTCGCCATCTGGATACATTGGGACTGCATGTGAATGTCCAGAAGAGCGTGTTTATTCCGAGTCAGACTATAACATATCTGGGCGTGTGTTTCGACTCGGTGGTGATGCGAGCCCACCTCTCTCAAGAGCGCATAGAGAACATTTCATCGACTCTGCACCGTTTCAGACTGGGCAGGTCTATTTCACAGAAGGACTTTCAGAGGCTTCCGG